CCTATATCCAACCTGCACACTCCCCCCCCCCCCCCCATATCCAACCTGCACACTCCCCCCCCCCCCATATCCCCCCCCCCCCCCATATCCAACCTGCGCACTCTACACCCCCCCCATATCCAACCTGCACACTCCCCCCTCATATCCAACATACACACTCCCCCCCCCCCCATCCAACAAACAACACACCCCCCCCCCATATTCAACAAACACACTCCCCCCCCATATCCAACATACACACCCCCCCCCCCCACCCCCCCGCCATATCCAACATACACACTCTTCCCCCCCCCCCATATCCAACATGAACACACACTCCCCCCCCATATCCAACATACACACCCCCCCCCCCATATCCAACCTGCACACTCTCCCCCCATATCCAACCTGCACACTCTCCCCCCCCCCCATATCCAACATAACACACTCTCCCCCCCCCCCCCATATCCAACAGGAACACACTCTCTCCCCCCCCCATATCCGACATACACACATCCTCCCCCCCCCCCCCCATACTCCCATCCATATCCACCTCCCCCCCCCCCCATATAAACCTGCACACTCTACCCTTGCCCCCCCCCCCCCTTCCACCCATATCCAACCTGCACTCACCCCATATCCACCCCCCTGCCCCCCCCCCCTCCAATATTCATCCTGCACAGACTCTGCCCCCTATTGTTTGGCCCGCACATTTCCTCTCCCCCAGTGTTCATTCTTCACACTCCCACCTCCCTCTGTGTTTGGCTCCCACATGCACCCCCTCTCCAGCCTACACAACCCCATCTTCTTCCCCCGGCCCAACAAAGGTCCCCCATGTACCCCAACCACAGATCTCTACATCCGGGACCAATCTGTACCTGCACTCTGGATGATGATGGAGATGTTTCCAGATTGGGGCTCTCCTATTGGTTCCCAGACTCCTCGGGGGCTCGGCAGCCACTCCTGGACCTGGCAGTGATAGGTGCCGCTGTCGGTCATGTGACTATGGTGGATCCTCAGATGGAAGGTCAGCTCCGATGGACGCTCATACTGGAGCCGGTCTATCTTCTCCTGGAAATAAATAAACTCACCCATGTGGTTGACAGCAAGCAGTAGAGTGCGTGGGGCCCCGGGGCCCTCGATCCTCCACCAAGAGACAGACAGGCGAGAGCCGGGCATAGACACTACCAACACCTGGCAGGGGAGGGTGACAGCGGACTGTTCTGGCACCAGAAGGGTTAGTTCAGTGCGGTTCAGACTCAGGCGATCTTCTGTAGAGGAGAAAGAAAATCACGATAAAGAAGAACTCCGCTTACACCAAGCCCATTCCCCGATCTACAACCCCCTCCGCCCACAATTTACTGATCTCCAGGCTGCCAAGTGCCAGGTACATGTGCAAACATTTCCATTTCAGCTCCTGTGTGTGTCCAGCAGGACATTAAATGCTCAGCTCCCATCATGCATCTGGAGCTCGCTCTGCTCCTGCATGAGCTCTGCCATCTATCAGCGGGATACAGAGAGCACACGGGGTGTCAGGTATGGGCTGTATTGGCTGCTCCACCAATAATCCGCTTCAAATATACACACAGTACAGTGGAGCTCTTCTGGTCTCAGGCAGTTCACATCCCCCCATAGCAGCCAATCAGAGTGCCCCAATGGTTTCCCCCACAGAAAGGGAGAGAGGAGACCTCTGGGTAATGAGTACATACCAGGCGGGGTAACCCTGATCTCCAGGAACCCGGATTGGTCAGAAGCGGCCATCTTCCATTCCCCCTCCTGCAATCTCCATTCCTCCACCTGGCAGAAGTATCTTCCTGAGTCCTCCAGCTCCGCCCCCTGCAGCAGCAGGCTGTAATTCCCCCTCCCGGGGGCCACCATACGTAGGCGGCTGTCCTCGTACTCCGTCACCCCTTCATGATCAGACCGGCACAGGAGGCGGGGAAGGCCGAAGTCCCACCCCTGCAGATACCAGGAGATGGAGAGGAGCGATGAAGGACTAAGTCCCGCCTCCAGGGGGCAGTGCAAGAACAAATCCTCCCACTGCTTGACAGAAGAGCTGACATTCCGTTTAGGGAGCTTCAGAGTCTGATCTGGAAGGGAAAAAACAAGGAGAGGTGACAATGAGGAAGGGTCCAAGAAATGCAGCCAAAGTCCATAGATTTATATATATATATTGGCAGCTACTGTGGGTGGGAGTTGTCGGGGGTCACAAAGCTGGAGGCGTGCAACTGAGCATGCTCCCTACATGGGACACGCACCGCACATGGATGTACCACACATCCACATCATGCCTGTCCTCAGCTCCGCCAGCAGGGGGGGATGTATGTCAGCTAATAAATGGTATCACCCTAAGGACCCATTCACACAGGAGGCCGGCTCTAACGCCCCTCTGAAAAACAATATGGGGTGGATTGTGTGTTCAGAGGACGTTTAGAGCCGGGTACAGGTGACTGCTGCTTCTCTGGATACATTGTGGACACATTGGACTCTCTGGATACGTTGGATTCTCTGGATACATTGTAGACACATTGGATTCTCTGGATACATGGACTGGATACATTGGATTCTCTGGATACATTGGATTCTCTGGATACTGGATTGGATTCTCTGGATACATTGGATTCTCTGGATACATTGTGGACACACGTTGGATTCTCTGGATACATTGGATTCTCTGGATACGTTGGATTCTCTGGATACGTTGGATTCTCTGGATACGTTGTGGACACATTGGATTCTCTGGATACGTTGGATTCTCTGGATACATTGTGGACACATTGGATTCTCTGGATACATTGGATTCTCTGGATACATTGTGGACACATTGGATTCTCTGGATACGTTGGATTCTCTACATTGGATACATTGTGGACACATTGGATTCTCTGGATACATTGGATTCTCTGGATACATTGTGGACACATTGGATTTCTCTGGACACATTGGATTCTCTGGATACGTTGGATTCTCTGGATACATTGTGGACACATTGGATTCTCTGGATACATTGGATTCTCTGGATACATTGTGGACACATTGGATTCTCTGGATACATTGGATTCTCTGGATACGTTGGATTCTCTGGATACATTGTGGATACATTGGATTCTCTGGATACATTGGATTCTCTGGATACGTTGTGGACACATTGGATTCTCTGGATACGTTGGATTCTCTGGATACGTTGGATTCTCTGGATACGTTGTGGACACATTGGATTCTCTGGATACGTTGGATTCTCTGGATACGTTGGATTCTCTCTGGATACGTTGTGGACACATTGGATTCTCTGGATACATTGGATTCTCTGGATACATTGTTGATACATTGGATTCTCTGGATACATTGGATTCTCTGGATACATTGTTGATACATTGGATTCTCTGGATACGTTGGTCTGGATTCTCTGGATACATTGTGGACACATTGGATTCTCTGGATACATTGGATTCTCTGGATACATTGTGGATACATTGTATTCTCTGGATACATTGTGGACACATTGGATTCTCTGGATACATTGTGGACACATTGGATTCTCTGGATACATTGTGGACACATTGGATTCTCTGGATACATTGTGGACACATTGGATTCTCTGGATACGTTGGATTCTCTGGATACATTGTGGACACATTGGATTCTCTGGATACATTGGATTCTCTGGATACATTGTGGATACATTGGATTCTCTGGATACATTGGATTCTCTGGATACATTGGATTCTCTGGATACATTGGATTCTCTGGATACATTGTGGATTGGATTCTCTGGATACATTGGATTCTCTCTGGATACATTGGATTCTCTGGATACGTTGTGGATACATTGGATTCTCTGGATACATTGGATACTGGATATTGTGGATTGGATTCTCTGGATACATTGTGGATACATTGGATTCTCTGGATACGTTGTGGATACATTGGATTCTCTGGATACATTGGATTCTCTGGATACATTGTGGATACATTGGATTCTCTGGATACATTGTGGATACATTGGATTCTCTGGATACATGTGTGGATTCTCTGGATACATTGGATTCTCTGGATACGTTGTGGATACATTGGATTCTCTGGATACATTGGATTCTCTGGATACATCTGTGGATACATTGGATTCTCTGGATACATTGTGGATACATTGGATTCTCTGGATATGTTGTGGATACATTGGATTCTCTGGATACATTGTGGATACATTGGATTCTCTGGATACATTGGATTCTCTGGATACATTGTGGATACATTGGATTCTCTGGATACATTGTGGATACATTGGATTCTCTGGATATGTTGTGGATACATTGGATTCTCTGGATACATTGTGGATACATTGGATTCTCTGGATACATTGTGGATACATTGGATTCTCTGGATACATTGTGGATACATTGGATTCTCTGGATACGTTGTGGATACATTGGATTCTCTGGATACATTGGATTCTCTGGATACATTGTGGATACATTGGATTCTCTGGATACATTGTGGATACATTGGATTCTCTGGATACATTGTAGCATTTGCCTTTCCATTAACAGTTAATGACACCCCAAATGCAGACAGAAGTCCCGTGTTTATCTCTTGAAAAAATGTTCACAAAACTGGGTGCTCATAAAGGTACGCGTGTTATGGAGCCACCTCTGTGGTGCGCGGGGTGGGGGCTCACGGGGGGGGGGGGGGCGGCGGGGGGGGGGCGCGGGGGGGGGGGGGGGGCAGGGGTCACGGGGGATCCCATTGCTACCAGTAGACTGCCCTCTGCACGGGGCGCACAAATGTACAGATAACAGGAATCACCTCCCACCACAGAGTACAATGGAGGAATCTCCCACTCGGGACAAAGACACATAGCGCCTCCTGCTGGAGAACAGGAGGATACACACCATGTAATCATACAAATATCATAGGAGACCATCTACAGATACACCGTATTGCCAAAGTATTGTCCCCACCCTCCATATCATGTGATTCAGGTGTTCCAATCCCCTCCATATCATGTGATTCAGGTGTTCCAATCCCCTTCATATCATGTGATTCAGGTGTTCCTATCCCCTCCATATCATGTGATTCAGGAGTTCCAATCCCCTCCATATTATATGATTCCGGTGTTCCAATCCCCTCCCAATCATGTGATTTCGGTGTTCCAATCCCCTCCATATCATGTGATTCAGGTGTTCCAATCCCCTCCATATCATGTGATTCAGGTGCTCCAATCCCCTCCAATCATGTGATTCCGGTGTTCCAATCCCCTCCATATCATGTGATTCAGGTGTTCCAATCCCCTCCATATTATGTTATTCAGGTGTTCCAATCCCCTCCATATCATGTGATTCAGGTGTTCCAATCCCCTCCGTATCATGTGATTCAGATGTTCCAATCCCCTCCCAATCATGTGATTCAGGTGTTCCAATCCCCTCCCAACCATGTGATTCAGGTGTTCCAATCCCCTCCATATCATGTGATTCAGGTGTTCCAATCCCCTCCATATCATGTGATTCAGGTGTTCCAATCCCCTCCGTATCATGTGATTCAGATGTTCCAATCCCCTTCCCATCATGTGATTCAGGTGTTCCAATCCCCTCCCAACCATGTGATTCAGGTGTTCCAATCCCCTCCATATCATGTGATACAGGTGTTCCAATCCCCTCCATATCATGTGATTCAGGTGTTCCAATCCCCTCCGTATCAAGTGATTCAGGTGTTCCAATGCCCTCCCAATCATGTGATTTAGGTGTTCCAATCCCCTCCATATCATGTGATTCACGTGTTCCAATCCCCTTCATATCATGTGATTCAGGTGTTCCAATCCCCTCCATATCATGTGATTCAGGTGTTCCAATCCCTCCATATCATGTGATTCAGGTGTTCCAATCACCTCCCAATCATGTGATTCAGGTGTTCCAATCCCCTCCATATCATGTGATTCAGGTGTCCAATCCCCTCCATGGACACAGGTGTATACAATCAAGCCCCTAGGCATGCAGACGGCTTCTACAAACATTGGTGAAAGAATGGGTCGCTCTCAGGAGCTCAGTGACTCCAAGCGTGGTCCCGTGATAGGTGGCCACCTGGGCAATAAGTCCATCCGTGACATTTCCTGGCTACTAAATATTCCACGCTCAACTGTTAGTGGGATTATAACAAAGTGGAAGCCACTGGGAACAACAGCCACTCAGCCACCAAGTGGTAGGCCACGTCACATGACAGGGCGGGGTCAGCGCATGCTGAAGCGCACAGTGCGCAGAAGTCAGCAACTGTCTGCAGAGTCAATAGCTAAAGACCTCCAAACTTGGTGTGGCCTTCAGATGAGCCCAACAACAGTGCGTAGAGAGCTTCATGGAATGGGTTTCCATGGCCGAGCAGCTGCATCCAAGCCTTCCATCACCAAGTGCAATGCAAAGCGTCGGATGCCGTGGTGTAAAGCACGCCGCCACTGGACTCTAGAGCAGGGGAGACGTGTGTTCTCTGGAGGGACCAATCACACTTCTCTGTCTGGCAATCCGATGGACATGTCTGGGATTGGTGGTGGCCAGGAGAACGGTACTTGCCTGACTGCATTGTGCCAAGTGTAAAGTTTGGTGGAGGGGGATTATGGTGTGGGGTTGTTTTTCAGGGGTTGGGCTTGGCCCCCTAGTTCCAGTGAAAGGAACTCTTAAGGCGATATTTTGGACAATTTCAAGCTCCCAACTTTGTGGAAGAGTTTGGGGATGGCCCCTTCCTGTTCCAACATGACTGCACACCAGTGCACAAAGCAAGGTCCACAAAGACATGGAGGAGCCAGTTTGGGGTGGAGGAACTTGACTGTCCTGCACAGAGTCCTGACCTCAACCCCATAGAACACCTTTGGGATGAATTAGAGCGGAGACTGCGAGCCAGGCCCCCTCCCCCGACATCAGTGCCTGACCTGACAAATGTGCTTCTGGAAGAATGGTCCAACCTTCCCATAGACACCCTCCTAAACCTTGTGGACGGCCTTCCCAGAAGAGTTGAAGCTGTTATAGCTGCAGAGGGCGGGGCCAACTCAATATTGAACCCTACGGACTAAGACTGGGGGGGCCATTAAAGGTCATGTGCGTGGAAAGGGCGGGGCCAACTCAATATTGAACCCTACGGACTAAGACTGGGGGGCCATTAAAGGTCATGTGCTTGGAAAGGGCGGGGCCAACTCAAAATTGAACCCTACGAACTAAGACTGGGAAGACATTAAAGGTCATGTGCGTGGAAAGGGCGGGCCAACTCAATATTGAACCCTACGGACTAAGACTGGGGGGGCCATTAAAGTCATGTGCGTGGAAAGGGCGGGGCCAACTCAATATTGAACCCTACGGACTAAGACTGGGGGGCCATTAAAGGTCATGTGCTTGGAAAGGGCGGGGCCAACTCAAAATTGAACCCTACGAACTAAGACTGGGAAGACATTAAAGGTCATGTGCGTGGAAAGGGCGGGGCCAACTCAATATTGAACCCTACAGACTAAGACTGGGGGGCCATTACAGGTCATGTGTGTGGAAAGGGGCGGGACCAACTCAATAATGAACCCTACGGACTAAGACTGGGGGGCCATTAAAGGTCATGTGTGTGGAAAGGGCGGGGCCAACTCAATATTGACCCCTACAGACTAAGACTGGGGGGGCATTAAAGGTCATGTGTGTGGAAAGGGCGGGGCCAACTCAATATTGAACCCTACGGACTAAGAATGGGGGGCCATTAAAGGTCATGTGTGTGGAAAGGGCGGGGCCAACTCAATATTGAACCCTTACGGACTAAGACTGGGGGGACATTAAAGGTCATGTGTGTGGAAACAACTCAATATTGAACCTTCGGACTAAGACTGGGGGGGACATTAAAGGTCATGTGTGGAAAGGCCGACGTCCCGATACTTGGGGCAATATAGTGTGTGATTCTGCACACAGACACATATCGCCCCCTTCCTGTCAGGGCTGGTGATGGGAGATTTTCCTTCACTTCCCGTCAGGGCTGGTGATGGGAGACTTTCCTTCACTTCCCGTCAAGGCTGGTGATGGGAGATTTTTCCTTCATTTCCTGTCAGGGCTGGTGATGGGAGATTTTCCTTCACTTCCTGTCAGGGCTGGTGATGGGAGATGTTCCTTCACTTCCTGTCAGGGCTGGTGATGGGAGATTTTCTTTCACTTCCTGCCAGGGCTGGTGATGGGAGATTTCCCTTCACTTCCCGTCAGGGCTGGTGATGGGAGATTTCCCTTCACTTCCCGTCAGGGCTGGTGATGGGAGATTTCCCTTCACTTCCCGTCAGGGCTGGTGATGGGAGATTTCCCTTCACTTCCCGTCAGGGCTGGTGATGGGAGATTTCCCTTTACTTCCCGTCAGGGCAGATGATGGGAGATTTTCCTTCACTTCCTGCCAGGGCTGGGGATGGGAGATTTCCCTTCACTTCCTGTCAGGGCTGGGGATGGGAGATTTCCCTTCACTTCCTGTCAGGGCAGATGATGGGAGATTTTCCTTCACTTCCTGTCAGGGCTGGGGATGGGAGATTTTCCTTCACTTCCTGCCAGGGCTGGTGATGGGAGATTTTCCTTCACTTTCTGCCAGGGCTGGTGATGGGATATTTTCCTTCACTTCCCGTCAGGGCTGGTGATGGGAGATTTCCCTTCACTTCCCGCCAGGGCTGGTGATGGGAGATTTCCCTTCACTTCCCGTCAGGGCTGGTGATGGGAGATTTCCCTTCACTTCCCGTCAGGGCTGGTGATGGGAGATTTCCCTTCACTTCCCGTCAGGGCTGGTGATGGGAGATTTCCCTTCACTTCCCGTCAGGGCTGGTGATGGGAGATTTTCCTTCACTTCCCGCCAGGGCTGGGGATGGGAGATTTTCCTTCACTTCCTGTCAGGGCTGGTGATGGGAGATTTTCCTTCACTTCCTGTCAGGGCTGGTGATGGGAGATTTTCCTTCACTTCCTGTCAGGGCTGATGACGGGAGATTTTCCTTCACTTCCCGTCAGGGCTGATGACGGGAGATTTTCCTTCACTTCCCGTCAGGGCTGGTGATGGGAGATTTTCCTTCACTTCCCGTCAGGGCTGGTGATGGGAGATTTTCCTTCACTTTCTGCCAGGGCTGGGGATGGGAGATTTTCCTTCACTTCCCGTCAGGGCTGGTGATGGGAGATTTTCCTTCACTTCCCGTCAGGGCTGGTGATGGGAGATTTTCCTTCACTTCCCGTCAGGGCTGGTGATGGGAGATTTTCCTTCACTTCCTGTCAGGGCTGGTGATGGGAAATCTCTCCAACAGGGACACGGATTTTCTCGTGACCCTGGGCTGTGGGAATGGCTGTGTGCGGTCAGTAATGTTCCCCCCTCAGCCCCGTCATGTATGTTTGGTGTCAGTTGGTGTCAGTTACAGCACAAGTATGATCGCGGTTCATGAAGAGACAACATATATGTAGCGTGTTATCTCACCCGAGGTGATGAAGGTGACCTGGGTGTCTCCGGATTTCCTCTCCCCCAGAGGGTGCCAGTTGCCCGTCTCCTCCAGTAGCCATTCCTGCACCACGCAATGGTAGGCCCCCTCCTCCCTGAGGCTCGGTCTGAGGATTCGCAGGAGGAAGGAGTCCGTGGAGGACCGTTCAGAGATGAAGCGGAGGCGGAGCAATGAATCTTGGCTGGTCACGCCCCCGAGGTCCACTCTGAGGATTTCCATGAAGGAAGCGGATGATGGCGGGCGAAAGAACCACGCAACGCTGAGTTGAGTGGCGGGGGTGGACTCCAGGATCCTGCAGGTGACCGCAGCCTCGTCCTGTCCCGCGGTCAGCGCCACCGCGCCAGAGGCGGAGTCAAGCCTCAGCTTCGTGTCTGGGGGAGAGAGGCAGCGGTCAATGTCAGCCATTATATTTCTATCACACGAGTATTATCACTGTGGGCCCTGATAATGGTGGGGAGCTCTCAGGGGTGGACTGGCAACTCATGGGGCCCCCGGGCAATAGGGAATCATGTGGCCCCTGTGTCCTTGCCCACAGTCAGACCACACCCAAAAAAGCTTTTGAAAGGTACCAGGGGCATCTCATAGGGCCCCCTACTGACCTCGGGCCCTAGGGCAGTGCTCAAGTGCAGGAATGGTCAGTCTGATCCTGGTTAGAAGCAATTGAGCTCCGTCTCATGTCCTGGCTGGAGAACGTCCAGCATCATCTAGTGCTTCTCTACCCATCCTGACTGTCCCTGGCCCCGCCCCTTTCATTCAGTGGATTTCAGTTCAGGGCCCGGGGTCAGTAGGGAGCCCCATGAGATGTCCCTGGTACCTTTCATAGGCTTTTTTGGGTGTGGTTTGAGTGTGGACGAGGACACAGGGGCCACATAATCCCCTATTGCCCAGGGGCCCCATGAGTTGTCAGTCCGCCCCTGCACATGTGAGTATTACCCATGCACTGACACCCACCTCTCCTGACCGACACCCCACCTCTCCAGACTGACCTCTCCAGACCGACACCCCCCACCTCTCCAGACCGACACCTCACCTCTCCAGACTGACCCCCACCTCTCCTACCGACACCCCACCTCTCCATACTGACACCCACCTCTCCAGACCGACCCCCACCTCTCCAGACCGACACCTCACCTCTCCAGACTGACCCCCACCTCTCCTGACCGACACCCCACCTCTCCAGACTCCAGACACCCACCTCTCCAGACCGACACCCACCTCTCCAGACCGACACCCCCCTCTCCAGACTGACCCCCGCCCATTCATAGCACCCACCTGGGAAGGATGATCTCCTGGAACTGCACCTGTATGGTGACCACATCTGGAGGAGACTGACCCCCACTGAGCTCTCCAGACCGACACCTCCACCTCTGCCAGGCTGACCCCCCACCTCTCCAGACCGACCCCCCCCTCTCCAGGACTATCCCCACACCTCTCCATTCCCGACCCCCGCACCAGATCTGGGGGGGCC